TAGAAGGTAAATAAATTCTAGATACCAGGGCCTCTGCTTTGGTTGCTGGAAGCGGGGGACGGGGAGGCGTGGCTGGACTGCAAACCATCATAGGCCCCTGGCTCAGATAACCCCATACCCCAAGGGAACCCCCACCCTGATCCGGGAGACCCTTCAGGGCAAACCACCTGGCCCCCACCCATGAACCAGGCCTCTATCCTCTGGCCAAAGCTGCCTTTCTTCCTTCCCATGCTGCCCAGAGACCTGGAGGGCTGGGGGTGATGCAGAACACCTGCATCATTGCCATGACAATGATGCAAGTGTCACCCTGGCCCTGGCCACTTGGCGCATGCATATGCAAATTAACCTCCCATCTTGGTTGGGAGGGGGTCACAAAGGTACAGTCAATTAGCATGTTACTCTTTTATTAGGTAGATTAGAGATGTAGGAGAGAAGAGAGAAATTTGAGGATGAAATATTTCAAAATATGAATTTTGCAAATTTAGTGAAAGACATAGATTTAAGAACCTCAGGAAACTCTAAGCAGAAAATATGCTATAAGAACACCTGAGCCCCGAAGACATGGTTCAGTGATTGATCATCAACCTATAAACCAAGGGATTTAACCAGGCAGGGCCCATGTCAAGGTTTCAGGTTCAATCCCCAGTGCAGGGGGGTGATGCAGGAGGCAGTTGATCGATGATTCTCTCATAATTGATGTCTCTATTCCTCTTTCCCTCTCCATTGTTCTATTTGAAATCAATAAAAACATATTTAGAAAAAATGATATTGAAAACATCAGGCAGAATGAAGAGCACCCAAAATGAAAAATACATAGTTAAATATGAAAGAATTATTTCCTTAAATTATCTATGATTATTTAAGCATAACTTCGTACAATACTTTATTGTGAGTTTTATAACTTATTTAGGTATAAGTCACAAAGTAGGGCTTGTCAAACTATAGCCAGTGGGCTAAACCAATATTTAGACATATTTTGGTATAGCCTATGAGGTAAGAATTGTTTCTACATTTATATTTTAAGTGTTAAAAAATATATTTCATGACACATGACAATTTTGTCAAATTCAAATTTCAGTGTCCACATGTAAAATTTTGTTGGAACATAGTAACACTCATTTGTTTACATATTGTCCATGGCTTTGGATTAATACTTCACATTATATGCAAAAACTAATGAAAAATGGATTATAGAACCTAAAATGGCAAAACAGCCAGAAGTAAACATTAAAATGTCTTTGTAACTTTCTGGTTCACAAAGATTGGTTAAAACACAGAAGTAATCATAATAGAAAATGGACTATATCAAATTTTTAAAACGTCCATGTTTCAGTAGGTAATATTAAAAAGAACTACAAAGGCAAGCTAGAGACTAGAAATAAGCAAATCATAAACTAGGACATTTGCATGACATATATCTGGCACAAAATGTATATACAGAATACATAAAAGAGCTCTTATAACCCAATGAGATGTATTAGTTTCCTATTATTGCTATAGTAAATATCTCCTAATTTAGTGGCATAAAACAATACATATTTACTAGAGGCTCAGTGAATGAAATTCATGCACACAGGAGTGGAGGGCCCTCAGCCAAGCTTGCTACCTTTCACAGTCCGGGAGCTCTCAGGGGATTTCTGACTATATTTTTAAAAAATCACACTGTACTTACTTTTCTTACTAACTCCTCCTTTTAAGCACCCCTTACTCTCACATTTTGTTTCTTCTTCTTTATTTTTTAATATATTTTATTGATTTTTTTTGCCCCCCTCCCTCCCTCCCATACGTACCCTCTTCTTCTTTTAATTTAACTATTTTCCTGGCTACACCCCACTTTAGCATCCTTCTCTTCCCTGCTTTTTTTCCCTCCCTCCTTTTGAACCCTTGTGGCCCCTCTCTTTCCCACCCTCCTCCCTTCTCTCCCTTCATTCCCCATGTCTGTCTTCTTCTTACTCCTCCTACCTTTCCCCCCAATTTGCCTTTCCCTTGTGAGCCTGAACCCTGCCTCCCTCCTTCCTTCCCTATTGTTACCCCCCACCTTCCACCCCCCACTATGTTCACTGGTTTCTCTTTTAAACCTTCCCCTTTCCACTCTGGGACCTATTTCCAGCCCTGCCTGAGTGCACTTTGATATTAAAGATTTCATTCAGGGGGCATTAACCCCCAGACCAGGGCCCAGTGCTGGCCAGGCCTTCACCGTCCCCTCTTTCCCAGCCTTTCTGCCACTGTTCTCCTCGCATTCCATGCCTGTGAAACCCCAACTTCCAGTCAACAGAGGACAGTTAATGCACCATCAAACTAACCCTAGCCAGTATCTTTGGAGTCCAACCCTCGGGGACATGAGGTATCTTTCTCAGTATCTGACTCCACCCCAACTAAGCTGTGCCTCCCTCCCAGTGTGGAGCACCTGGCACAGTGAGGGTGGCTGAGGCTCATATGGCCCAGGCTCTGCTGCCACAAATCAGGAGCACCGTCACCCAGAAGGCCTCAAAACCTCCACCCCTCCATCTCAGCACTCATGGTGCCTTCATGCTAACAGCTCATGACAGGAACCACCACTCTTCTCCCTAATCCTGGTGGGGCATCCTGATCCATGTCATCTGTACCCTATCCCTCACCTGTGCACCTGCACTTCCCCCACACCCTGCAGTTGCCATCCCCTCCTGCATGCAGATCTGCGTTTTCTTCCCTTTTCCATTCCTGCATCTTTTTCTTGTTCCCTTTCTGCATTTCTGTTTCTGCTCTTGTCCTGTCTGCATGAAGGCCTGCCTGCCTATCCCTCTCCTTTTTTATCTCCTCCTATTGTATCTTATCCTACCTACCCCAGGCCTTGCAGCTGCCTGAACATGGGGGCGAGAGGCGGGGAGGATTCAGCCTGCTGATCGGCCATTACATGATGGTATCCTGACTAATTTGCATATTATACTATTATGAGATAGATTATTTTACAGTTCTGGAGGTCAGAATTTATAAAATCATGTCATCAGGGGTATGTTCCTTCTAGAGGCTCTAGCCTAGAGCCTAGGCGTCTTCAAACTACGGCCCGCGGGCCACATGCGGACCGCAGAGGAGTCTGATCCCGGCCTGCCAGGGTTTTTGGGCAGTGAGCGCAGCCGAGGTGTTACAGTAGGAATTAGTAGTTCATATAGTCCGGCCCGCCAGCTCTCTGAGGGACGGTGATCTGGCCCCCACTTTAAAAAGTTTGAGGACCCCTGCTAGGGGAAAATCTGTTTCTGTGCCTTTTCTTGCTTGTTGAGGCCACATGAATTCCTTCACTCATGGCAACTTTCTCTACCATTAAGCCAACAGCAGCATAGCATCTTCAACTCTCACTTCCTATCTCTCTCTCTGCTTCTGTGTGGCCACATATCCTTCCCTGACTTTGATCCTCTTGCCTTTCCATTATAAGTACTCTTATGATGAGATTTGTCTTACGGGAATAATCTACAACAATCTTCCCATCTCATGGTCTTTAATTTGAAAACATATTTAAAGTCCCTTTTACTGAGAGTCCCTTTTATTGGTATACACATATTTTTGAAATGAGGCTGTAGACATCTTGGGAGGCATGCATTATTCTGTCTACCATAAATGACAACCAGCCTGATATTTTAAAGGGCAATTATTTGAGCAGATACCTTACAAATAAAAATGTAGACATGAATGGCCAATAAGCACATGAAAAGATGATAAATCTTTATTCGCTAGGAAAATTCTAAACAAAACCACAATGAATTACCATCATTTACACAATAGAGTGGGAAATATTTAGTCTGAAATTAAACACAAAGTTATGGTGATGATGTATTTCAAATGGAACTCTCACACATTGTTGATGGAATGCAAAATGGTTGAGTCATTTTGGTAAACAGTTTTGCAAAATGCTTATTATATGATTCAGTAATTCTATACTCATACACACACAGAAAAATATTTTGTATTAATTTGAATAGCTGATTCTTTAGCCCATACTGGAAATGGTCATTTGAGGTGTATTCATATACTCTGATACTCTTTAACAATAAAATAAACAAACCACCAATAAGTGTAATATTGAATAGTTAGTAGTCTCAAAAATGTTATACTGAATAGAAATATTAGAAACAAAAGATCATGTGTTGTTGTTTTTTAAAGACTTTTAAAAAATATTTTATTGATTTTTTACAGAGAGGAAGGGAGAGGGATAGAGAGCTAGAAACATCGATGAGAGAGAGACATCAATCAGCTTCCTCCTGCACACTCCTTATTGGGGATGTGCCCACAACCAAGGTACAAGTCCTTGACCAGAATCGAACCTGGGACACTCTATCCGCTGAGCCAAACTGGTTTTGGCAAAAGAACATGTTTTGAATATGAAGTTTTAGGAGCAAAATTATTCTATAGTGATGCAAATATGTTACCTGTAGAGAGGTGGGGACAATTGATTGCAAAGGGCTATAATTGTTTTAGTGTTTACACAAGTGTATATATTTATCAAAATACTAGGGGCCCAGTGCATGAAATTCATGCACGGGGAGGGGGTGTCCTCTTCAGCCCAGCCTGCATGGCCTCCAGCTGGTGGGGGAACATCCCTCTTGCAATCTGGAACTGCTGACTTCTAACCACTCACCTGCCTACCTGCCTGATTGCCCATAACTGCGTCTGCCTGCTAGCCTGATGTGAACCCTAACTTCCCTCCCTGCCTGCGTAATCACCCCTAACTGCCCTCCCTGCCAGCCTGATCTTACCCTCAACTGCCCTATCCTGCCATCTTAGCCTGGTTGCCCTCAACTGCCCTCCCCTGCTGGCCTGATTGCTCCTAACCCATTGTCAGCCTGATCTCATTTCCAACTGCCCTACCCTACCAGCCTGATATCCTCTAACTGCCTCTGCCTCCACCCCCATCACTATGACTTTTTCTGGAAGGAAGTCGGACATTTGGAAGATGGCGGGAAGACTCAGTCTAATTAGCATTTTACCCTTTTAGTAGTATAGATAGATTATATAGGATAGATTGCTTAAAAGGGGGAAACAGTATTTTTCAGCAGGAGAAAATGCTCTTGGCATACAAAAATACATAATCCCTATATCTGGACTGATAGCCAGCCATAAGCACTATACAACCAAACTGGTCATGAAAAAATTGAACTGCTCTCTTACACCTTATAGTACACCAAACAGCTGTTGCCCTTAAAACCCCTCCGCAACCCCCACCTTAGGTTCTGCATTTGCAATTCACCCTGATTAGGTTTAGATTGGTCAGTTTCTATGCCAGTTAACATAAAAAACTCCACCTCCTAGGCAGCCATTGGCTCCTCACACTTAAACCAAATTAGGTTTTGATTGGTGGGTTTCTATGCCAGTCAATATCCAAAGCTCCACCTCCTAGGCAGCCATTGCCTTCTGGCACTTCACCCAGATTTAGTTCTGATTGGCCTGTTTCAATGCCAGTCAGTGTCTTTGGACCTATCTCTGTGCCTGATCAAAGAGGCAGGGCTGATCAGCAGCTCCCAAGGAGGCCAGGAGAAACAGAGGTGCTGCTGTTGGCAAAGCCAAAGCCGAGAGAGAAAGAGAGAGGCAGTGGCTGATCAACAGCTGCCACTGAGGCTGGGATCAGACCCTGCTTCTCTCTCTGCAGGTCTCTCTCTGGGCCTGATTTGAAGCCCCCCTCGGCAGTCAGTACTGGTTCACTGTGCCAGGACTGGCTTCTGACTTCTAGTGTTTGGTGGAGCCTTGGCCATTATGGACCCTTGGTTCTGTGTGTGTGTGTGTGTGTGTGTGTGTGTGTGTGTGTATACATATATATATACACACACACACACACATATTGACTGACACAATTAAAATAGACAAACTATTTTGTATTCTACTTATACTTTAATGAAGTTGAAAAACATAATGGAGAAGCAACAAAGAACAAGAAATTAATAAAACTGAAAGTAAAGAATAATTTTAAAATTTGGGGTTAACTGCAATTTACTCAATTTGTATGCAATATTGAGTATTTCATAACAAGAATGATATTGAGTATAATTCTTGTGTCATGTACATGCCATGTGTCAGACATGTTCTAGTGCTGAATATAGAGTGAGGTATAGCCCTAACTCTCATGGGTCTGTGGAAAATAATAGATTATAAACATCTAAATATAACAATTTTAGAGAGCAATAAGCACTATGAAGAAAATGAAATAAGGTTATAAAATAAGGAGGTACAACATTTAATGATTAACTCTACTGGCTCTGGAGCCATACTGCTTATGTTAAAATTTTGAACTATATTCCAACTCTGCTACTTAGGCAGACCACTTAAATGTTCTCTGCCTCAGTTTCTATATCTGTAAAATTAGAATAATAATAGTAGCTTATTATAAGATGGTTATAAATATTAAATAAACAATATTTAATGATTTACAATAGTATCTAGAATTAGTATGCATGAATTTAAAAGTATCTATCATTATTATTATTATTATTATTATTATTATTATTACATTGTTACTCCTGAGGTGTGATTATGTAAACTGGAGCTATACATGTCTGGGATAAACACAAATTAATAAAGAAGAGAACCAATATGGTGGCATAGGCAAACACCTATACTTGCTGCCTCTCACAACCACATCAAAATTACAACTAAAAGGCAGAACAATTACCACCCAGAACTGTAGGAAAGCTAGCAGAGTGGAAGTTGCACAACTAGAGAGGTGAGAAAAGCACAGTGAGACTGGTAAGAGATGCGGAGGTGAGGAAAGTGCTGGCACCTGAATGTGCTGTTCTTTTAATTGGGAGGGAAAGACAATCTCCCACTTGCTCTGAACTCCAGTTACAGGTGAGATTCTGGGGGATCCAGGTACATATAGGGAAAAACTGGACTGTGTGGCATCGGGAAAGGAACGCAAAGGCGGCTTTCCCTCAGATGTGCACATAGCGATCATTGTTCCTGCAGGCAGGCGATGGACATGGAGACCAGAGGACCTCTCTGGTGCAGGGATGACTGGCAGTCATTGCAGTTTGCTCTGCCCTGGTGATTCCCAGAGATCCCACCTCACCCATTTACAATCCCACCCAAGCTGTGAGCATAGGTTTTTGCATATGAGTGGCCTGCCCTTTCACCTAAAACAAAATAAAACTGGGTCACAGATCACCAGAGATTCCAGAAGAAACCTACTGCCTGTCAGCAGCAGCAACTTGCCTTGCTTCATGGCTGTGCCTCATCTGGGCACTTCCAAACCCCATACAAAGAGGAGGAATATGCAGATGTCTCTGTAGCTCCTCCTGGGTGGCCCCAGACAATGGCTAATCTTGCACCTCCTTGTAGATCCAAGAGCCAGTGTACCCAGTGATCAGTGAGAGACCATACCGAATTACAACTCTTCACATCCATAAGAAACACACTCAAGGGGCAGACTCAGTGAGCACCAAAGCCCACTGAAGCAAGTTCTGCCTCATAATGGTATCTCCTGTGCAACAGATCTTCCGGTATAGATAGAGCTGGTCATCACAGACAATGGGCCTGGAGGTCAATTCCTCCCAGTGATACCAATAGCAATCAATGGTTAACTACAAGACTGTGCAGACAGCCCCCAAAGGGGTGGACCTCAGGTACCTGGGAAGCTGAGCCACTGGGCATTATAGCACACCTACCACATAAAGACACTCTATCAACTCAAGGAGACTTAGCAATTACTCAGTATGTAGAAAGAAACACAGAAAAGCAGCCAAATGCATAGACAAAAAACAAGTCACAAATTAAAGAAATGGATAAAAACAAAATACTGGGAAATGGATGAAAACAAAAACAATACAGAGTTCAAAACCATGCTGATAAGGTTACTCAAGATTCTTCTAGAAACCTCTGAGAAATTTAGTGAGACCCTTAAGGATATGGAAAAGGACCAATCACAAGTATAACTGACTGAAATAAAGAATAATATGCAGAGATTCAATAGCAGACTAGAGGATCCCAAGAATCAAGTCAAATATTTCAAATATGAAGAAGCAAAAAACACCCAACTGGAAAAGAAAAAAGAATCCCAAATATGAAGATAGTGTAAGGAGCCTCTGGGACAACTTCAAGCATACTGACCTCTGAATTATGGGGGTGTCAGAAGAAGAGAGAAAGCAAGATATTAAAAACCTATTTGAAGAAATAATGACATAAAATGTCCTGTATCTGGTGAAAGAAAATACTTACAAGTCCAGGAAGCACAGAGAACCCCAAGCAAGAGGAAACCAAAGAGGATCATTACAAGACATATCATAATTAAAATGTCAAGGACAAAAAACAAAGAGAGAATCTTAAAAGCAGCAAGAGAAATACTGTTAGTTAGCTACAATGGAGTACCCATACAATTGTCACGTGATTTCTCAACAGAAACTATGCAGGCCAAAAGGGATTGGCAAGAAATATACAAAGTTATGAATAGCAAGAAACTACAACCAAGATTACTCTACCCAACAAAGCTATCATTTATAATTGAAAGTCAGATAAAGAGCTTCACAGACAAGAAAAAGCTAAAGGAGTTCATCACCCCCAAACCAGTATTATATGAAATTCTGAAGGGTATTCTCTAAGAAGAGGAAGAAGAAGAAAAAGGTAAAGATAAAAAATTATGAACAACAAAGTGACAACAAATACATATCAATCAACAAGTGAACCCAAAAATCAAATGAATAAAAAACTTGATGAACAGAACAGACTGGTGAATGTAATAGGATCAGGAACATGGAAAGGGAGCAGACTGACAATTCTCAGGGGAAAGAGTTTGGGGGTGTATGGGAAGAGATTGGACAAAGAGCTTACACCTAAGGATGAGGTCAGTGCAGGGTTAGGCCTAGAGTTAAGTGGGAACTGGGTGGAGGGGAGCTATGGGGGAAAAAAGAGGAACATCTATAATAAACTGAACTATAAAATTTTTTTAAAAAGAAATGTCTTCATAAAAGGTTAAAGTGAGGAAATGAAAAGGCAGGCAAAGATGGCAACTGTATGCCAGTTTGGAAAAAAAATGAATGAAGGAGAGGAGTTACCTTTCTATAAAAGAGGACAGTGGACTGCTTTATTTGGCTGCAATATTTTCCCTATTTCTTCTACTGAATCACTTTGTTTATGCTCATTTTTAAGCTTTCCTTTTCAGCATTCTTTTTATGACTTATTCTCACTGTGAATTTGAGTTGTAATATTCTATATTTGGTAGTGCTAGTATAAAAATAAATTGAATTGTATTGTCCCACTTAAGTCTAAATTTAGATAAACAGTTTTTTTCTTGATTTTCCAATATATGTTAAGCATAAAAACTACATTAGTCTTCCATTCATAATTAGTACTTGATTTTTAAAGTAAGTATGAAATGGTAAGAAGATATGCTTCAATTTTAATCTTTTTTTAAAAAAATCACTCCTCTATCTAGTTTTGAGAAAATTAAGCTACATTCAAATATAATAAGCTGAGTATGCTTTTAAAGGAACAAAAGAGCATAACCCTTATGATAACCATTTGATTTTATAGACTACCAAATCAACGGTTTCAAATCAGTCTCTTTTGAATGTATATAAACAAAATTTTATATTTCAGTAGATAATTTTTCATTGATTTGCCTGGAATATAACCAAATGCACAGCTGAAAAGATTATGGAAAATTCAGTAAAGCTATAAAACCTAACAAGTTTACATTCATTTAGAAGAATGACCTTAAGAAATTATTGGAATTGATGAAAACTTAATGCTTTGTTTAATTTGATAATATATTTTATGTTGCTTTTTGCTGCTTTACCATTTTTAAGTAGTGAGATAGGAACAGAGAAGGAATGTGCTAAATCATCATTATAAACAAAAAGTAAGTTTCTGTTTTTATAATCTATTTCAGTGTGTTCTATGTTTTCTTAATAGTCTTTTCAAATAATCATACATTTTGTTAGTGAGTGTAAAATTATGGAGCTTCATTTGCAAACTATTTAAATCAAGACCTCATTAAGCATATGAACTTTAATTTTTCTCTGCATGAAGAGGAAGACATTACATTCCAAAGTAACTTGTCCCCTCCGAATCCAACTGATATTAGCACCTAAAAATTGTACTAGCATTGCCTGAAGAAACAACCCTAGACATATAGGAAAATGCCAATCTTTAAAATAACCAGTTGCTATAGCAAAAAGAACTTTTGTAAATTAAAATCAATACCTTGAGATCCAGCAAGGAATGAATAACTAGTCAATGTGAAAAAATCACAAACAAAAGTAGGGTTAGTACCTCTAAAAATCTTTGAACCAACATTGAGTTGGTTTTGCAATTTAGCCATACATAACCAGTTTACATTGAATAATTACAAATTATAATTTCAGATCTTTAGTCTAAATATTATGATATTTTCTTATCATTATTCTCTTTGTAAATCATGGCAAGAATATCTATTATTACTCATTAGTTCCATCTTAGTGCTTGACATAATGTATTGATAACATGATGGGTGCTTAATCAATTCTTATTATTTTCTATCTGGTAACATTTAATTTATTGTTTTGTTTTGTTTGTTTTTTTAATTTGGTAAGGCATGGTTCACTCTGCTATGGCTAACATAATGTAAAAGGACATTATTCAAGCAATTACTAGAACCAGAAAAGTTAGTGCTCATTGCATTTACAGAACTGTGCTTTTATGTTCCAATCAATTTAATTTTATAATTATGGCAGATTTGTCTAAAGCTCAGCAGAAGCTGTATTTGATAACCACCATGGACAGAACAGAAAGCACCATTGGATTCTGTCACATAAGTGTAAAATTATGAAAACTAAATTCACAGCTCAAAAAAAAATGTTAGCCATAGTTATTTAGATGTGTGTATGCAGTGTCAAACAATAAAAAAAATAGACATCTATGATTCACTATAGTTTAAAAAATTTTGCTTATTAAAAAAAAGTGTTTTATTTCCTAGGTAAGCTTGTAATTGAAACAATTTAAATAATTTTCAGTTACTTGTAATTCCTCCTACAATAGTATACCTGTTCAATAGCACTTTTAGTACTTTGCAATACATAAAGTCTTATTCACAGTTGCATTCTCCTTTCTTGAATTCTATTGTTGAATAATAATTAGTCTTAATTATTCTATTGTTGAATAATAAACTCATAAAATCCTTTCTTGGTGATTGTGTTATTTTAAATTAAATTAAAAGTAGTGCTCGGGGTCTTGTACAGCATCTAGAAGGTTTCAGGAATCTGGAGAAGGGACTGCTATAAATTATTAAAGAGTCTAGAGACAAAACTTAATTTTGGAAGGCATTTTGGGGGGCCAGAAGAGCTTGGCTGTAGGAACCAAGTTCTTTTGTCTCTCTGGACCCCTGACTTTTTATTAACACAAATATCCTATGGCAAAGTAGATATACATCAAAGGCAAGGTTTAGTATACAGAATCTATTCTCTGATTGTGGGAACTGCCTATGGCTGTTCAGGTGTTTGGCCAGTAGGAGGCAATAACATGTAGATTGGAAATGCCCTCAGCTGTCTGGAAGCAAGCAATCATTTATGCAAATCTTTCAGTGTGGGAAAATGCTCTTAGCCATTTCCAGTAGGCAATCCACAAGGTTCCATTAACCTTTTGCTGAAACTTCTTGTATTTATGACTTGTTGGAATGAGCTTCTGGCAATTAGTTTCTGTTTGTTTGTTTGTTTTGTTTTGTGTTTTTACCCAAGAAAAAATAAAAATGCTAATGTGAAGCACTACAAAGTATAACCCAATGTTAAGTAGTTAAAGTTAAAGCTCACAGTTTGGATCAATAAGCTATAAATAGTTGTATTTTTCAGAAATCATTTAGTACATGTTTAGTGGGTTAATAGTTTTATATTTTATTTTCATATCAATAACACCAATGTAACCTTTTAGCAAAATGTATAGGTATTTTACCAACTAATTAAAACTAAATTTAAAAGGTATCTTGATAAATATTCTATTTATGAAATGTAAATTCAAAGAGAAAAAAAATGCATACAAAAATGGTTCTTGATACTTCCTCTTTTTAAAATTTTGTTCTCTTACTTAAACATGCCATGTGACTGCATCTGCAAGTGAATAATTCAGAAAAGAAGTAGATGTCATCTATTTCTCTACTTATATGCAATACAAAATAAAATATACATACATCCAAGACAGGTGTGGCTCAATGGATAGAGCATCAGCTTGGGGACTGAAAGGTCCTGGGTTCGATTCCAGTCAAGGGCATGTACCTTGGCTGCGGGCATATCCCCAGTAGGGGGTGTGCAAGAGGCAGCTGATCTATGTCTATCTCTCATCGATGTTTCTAACTCTCTATCCCTCTCCCTCCCTCTCTGTACAAAACCAATAAAATATATTTAAAAAATTTAAAATAATAAAATATACATACATGTTCTGGTTATCAACTATGAATAAATGATTAAACATTATACTGTGAGTTCTTCTTTCTCAATTAAAACACGTCCATTTAGCAGACATTTATCACTCTGGAATGCTTAAGACACAAAACTGACTAAGGTTTGTGCTTCAGAAATCATACAATATAATAGGAACTAACTATATGCTATGTGGTAAGTACTATAAGAAAGACATGACAAATTGCTATGGGAGAACTAAAAATGAAAGAAATAACTGCAGAAAAATCTGGAGGACATGATATAAACTCAATATTGAGACAAGTAGGATTTTTTTATTGGCTAGAAAGAGAAGAAAGGACATTTTATACAAGTGCAATGGCATAAAAATATAAAAGGGAGGGCATATTCAAAGAAATTCATTCCAGCTGGAATTTAATTTACGTGACAGGAAAAATGAGAGACTTTGAGAAAGGAAATCCTACCTAATAAAGAGGAAATATGCTAATTGACCACCATGCCCTCACAAATGTGGTGGTTCCCAGATTCAATGAGGAGGTAATATGTTAATTTACTGCCATGCCATCAAAGATGGCTGTGCCCAAAACCACAAGATGGTGGTGCCTAGTCTCCTCAGTCCCCCAGCTGCCCAGGGCGGGCACAAAAAACAGGAAAGCCTTGGATGTCAGTTGCCCAGCTGCTTAGGGCCAGCTCGAGGCATAGGCAAGCCTCTGATGGTGGCTGCCCAGCTTCCTAGGGCTGCCCAAGGCTCAGGTATCCAGGGCCAGCCAAGCCTTGTGCTGCTGGCAGTTTGATATCCCCCTAGGGCTCCTGGGCTGCTAGAGAGATGTCTCACTGCCAACTTTGGCTTGATCCCCCGGGGAGCGTGCCTAAAGCTGGCAGGTGGACACACCCCCTAAAGCTGGCAGGGACTCAGACTGCAATAGGGCACAGGCTGGGTGAGGGATTCTCTTGGATGCATAGATTTTCATGCACCAGGCCTTTAGTAGGGCTATAGGTAAGTTGGCATTGTTCACATTGTGAAGGACTATGTATGCTATATAAAAGACTTTGGACTATATACACTAGGCAGTTAGTGGTCATTGCCATGAGAAGGCAGCTAAGCTACAGGATCAAAATTATTTAGAAAGATAACTTTGTTATAAGTGTAAAGAATTTCTTGGTGGCATTATTTAGACAGGAGTAAGGGAACCCTCCATGAATCTGTTGAATAGAGCAAGACACATGGTAGGAGATAAAATAAGATTGTGACAATGGAAATGGAATATGGGTTGAAGCCTCATGATATACATTATAGATAAACTAAAATGCATCATAGAACAGCTTGGATGTAAGGACTAAAAGAAATAAAGGAGTATAAGATTAAGCCAAAATTTTTTAGCTAGTACAACTTTGTAGAATGCTGTAAAGTATATAATTGTAAAAGGAAGTTAAAGTGGGTTAAGGAAAGGAAGTATAAATGATAGTCTTTTGGTGATATGCTGATTGGAAGTAGGGTATTAAAAATATAGAGCAGGAACTCAGAATGAAATTGGGAAGTGTGAATTTTGCAGTCATAAATTACCTAAAACTTATGTCATTATATGCAATACCTATGAACACAGACAATAGGGTGGTGAATGCCTGGAGCGGGGTGGGAAGTGGATGGAGGGGGCATTTGGGGAGACTCGGGGGGGGGGGACATCTGTAATACTCTCAACAATAAACATTTATAAATAAATAACCTAAAAATGATAGTTCTGTAATGACTACTTGTCCCGACCCGCGGGACAACAACGGGGGGCACGCAGGAACCACCTAAGAGAATGAATCAAACAAGGAACGCGGAAAGAATGGAGGCAAGACAAGGTTCTGATCAAGCCTCAGTTTTATTCTCTGAAATGGCTGTATTTATACAGCAGAGACAAAGGGGGGCAGGGCCGCCCATGCAGGGGGGTCTTTGGTATGGCAACACAGGATTGACTAATTGCCAGAGGCGGTGTGACATTCCAAGGTGCAATATTCAAAGGCTGGGCTATCTAGGGGGGGGAGGATCAGGAAGGGGAAGAGGCAGGAAGACAGGAGATGCTAAACCCCAGGTTAATCTTATCTTCTGGCCAAGCCCTCAGGGCACCACACAACCTCTGCTAGAAGGAACTTAATTCTATTTCCTTAACACTGAGTTGCTTGCCTCAACTCTGCTAGCTCCCAACATCTCCTCCCTTTGTCTTAATTGAAGGTGGGCCTTAACCGATTGGGGGAGTAGTGACCTGGTTCCTCCCGTGGGCTTCCCAGGCCCACCAGTGTTAGTGGCTCTTGGTATCTTTTGGGGAGGAGAGGCAGAGCCGATTGGATTTGTATTGATACCAACCTCTATGCAAACCAGGTATGCTCACAGGGAAATCCAGAGGGGGTCGAAATTTTCCCGTGACCTTCCCTTGGGAAGAGGGGGTCGGAAAATTTTTTGGACCTTCCCTTGCAATGCTTTGCTCTGCACCCATATCGGTACCCATACCTTTCTCCTTAGTGGGGAGTAGGTAAGCATTCCTCTGGTCATCATGCTGTCCCCGCAGGGAGGGAGCGATGGTAAAGTAAAGTTCAAAATCTTGCTCATGATCAGCTACGGCTAAACGGTGGTAATGTATCTGGATGGGTTTGGCCAAGATGCTGTTGTTTTACAAAATCTGTTAACCTCTGAAAAGCCCAGGGGCCAAAGGATAGGATTAATAAGAAGCCTATGAGGGGGCCCAGGATGGGGAGAAGGTAGGGGAGAAGTCCGTTTAGTCCGCTCCAGAGAGGGTTCTAGGGCTAAGCATATCCCTCCCTGCTCTGCTCTGAGTAAGTCTAACCTTCTCCTATTTTGTCTAAGGAGTAAATTTGGTCTTGGAGATCATTAATGATACTAGAGAGAGCTTGGACATCATTGATTACTTGATTAGATAACTTAGTATAAGAATGTACAACCACTCCTAGCCCCGCATTATTACTGAATCTGATAAAACTCTTCTGGTTTATGCTTCCTTCCACCTAGCTGCCTCGGTGGAGGCTATTGTACAGGAGGCCTGATGCCTTTCGCCTGCTGTACGATCTTCTGCATCACAATTTAAAAATTTTTAAAGTATAAAAAGTATGACTGAGCTTCTCTTGAGATGACACATAATATCTGTCTCCTCCTTTTTTGTTTTTAAAATGATCGTAAGACTACGAATAGCTCTTTCTACCATTGAGTGATATCTATTTGACCAGATTTGATTAGGTTTAAGTCCTCTGGGATTTATTCCTAAGGTTGGTATAGGAAGTTGGATAATATACTGAGGACATTGTTTCTAATAAAATATGGAAATTGCCATTCTCAAATAACATTTTAGAGACTGAAAGTTAAATGAAAAGTTCCTCTAAATTAATGTGCCTTATAGTAGCTGTTTTAATAATTTTTGCTATATTTACCATATAAGTACTATTACTATAGATTGATGTGCTTTGTAGTAAAATCTGTTAAGGTATAAGTAAGAGCTTGTATTTCTATTGAAATATAAGAGGTTTGAAGGACCTTTGCTCCTCTGCTGTAGTATATCTAGCCTGTCTAGAACTGGATCTATCTGTAAAAATGGTTAATACCTGAGATAAAAAATTTCTTTTACTGTGGTAGTTAATACTATTCCTTGTGTTAGATATAAATTAAGCCCCTAAGCTAGGGTTCCCGGTAGAATAAAAAATATTAAGTATTTTGACTTCTATGTAGAAGGGTGTGTACACCGATCTTCCTTGCCCTTGGTCCTGGGCAACCTGTAGGAATGCACAGGTGCTGATTGCTATCATGGCAAAGTATCTTTACTTTAAAAATAAAGCAAATTTACTTTTGAATTCATAAGCCACAAATGTTGCCTTGCCTTTAGCTTGATTAAAATGTAGGCGGCATATACAGTTAGGATTCAATTATTTATAAAACATTGGCTTCTCATGTAACTTAATTTATATGACATTGATTATATTGTAAAAGCTAATTTATAAAGTAACTTAAGTAGGTATTTTTAGTTTAAAAAAATAATGGCAAAGATTTTATTGGTCTGATCCAAAAGCATGGCTTTTGTCTTTCTTGAAATTTTATTGCTGTTGAAAAATTTGGCTATATTTAAGAAATATATTGTTCTTGCCTTTCCCACAGGTGAAAACCTTCATAATATTTAATATATACCTATTAATTTATTTGATAAGGCTTTCCATGCAATTTTAAGTATATTAGATCTGTTTTAAAAAGTTTTCCTATAAGAAGAGAGAATAAATCTCTTGTATTACTCCAGGCCCTTGGAGCTTTCCTAGAATCATCTCTGTTAAGGCCTTGAAATTTTAACATGGAAAAAACCATCAAGTAAATATCTATATATGATTTAAATATTTTTAATACCTACTATTATCTTAGGACAATTAGATTTAGACTAGTTTTTGTATAGAAAAATTTTTGGTGGAGATCACAGAATCAATTCTCTTTCTAATTAGATCAATAATAAGCAACTTATTTTGAATTTCTAATTATTCTTAAAAATAAGTTTTTATGCTTTAAGTATTTAATCACTACAATTCTACAATTTCTCCTAATTTAATTTGAACTTTGAATTTTTAAAACTGGCAAGTCAAATATATTTAGTAGTTCTTAGATTAATAACACTTTTATGTTAATCAGCTTAACAATAACCCACAACCTTCAGACCAACTAACACTTTACATTTCTAAGAAAAATACAAGACATAATCAATAGATTCAATTCTGTCCTCTAGGTTTTTTATGAGGCAAATTTGAACTTTAATTTTTATTTGCCAGTGGCTCTGGGACACATTCTTTAAGCTGGCTACTGGCAGGACACTATCTTAACTGTCTGCTGGGGGAAGGGCCTTTACCCTTTCCTCCCTCAACAAA